GTCTTAATTGTCTGTTTTAAATGCCCCACTCTTCACAGTGCCTTCGCTGACAAATTGGCAAGTCACGCGAAAATGGCCCGAACATAATCTAGCCGCGCGAGAAGGGCGCGTTCTAGAGGCGTCAGAAGAAATTTTCTCGGTGGGTGGTGGTGGTGGGAGGTTTAATGGTCGAGTATGACCCTACCCAAGGATCAACTATAATACACAGCTGAATGCAAAAGGCGGCACACATGAAAGGGTGAAAACTGCTTGCCCGGTGCGATCACCGAAAGCACTGGCTCGCATATGCAACTTTGCTGGATGTCCCGCCTGTTTAATGTAGAGGGGTCGTTTATTTGTGCTTTGAGGTTCGTAAAGCAGGCAAAGTTCTCGGATGTCAATTCATTCCATGTTCAATGGCGCTGAATTTGTATATTAGGTATGACCTGCGAGCGTAATTGTCTTTGAAGTAGTGCTATTTTAAGGACATGAAAGCTGTGCTCTTTTAAATTTGTATGTTTCGAAATGTGAAGGTTTGGTTGTGTGTTCACATGCAAGTTGTGGTTGTTGAATCTGATTCAAAAAGGCGTATTAGTTTGTCCATTGTATTGTTTAGCGGAGATGCCACATTTCAACACGTAGACAACGTTTGTAGAGTCACAGTTTAGGTAGCTAGGTATGATGTGTGCATAATTATTATGCGTACTTTCAACTATCGTTGCTGTTTGCATGTGCTTGCACACCTGACATCTACTTTACCCGCAGGGATCACAACCTACTTGTCCTACGTAGAGTGTACTACGTAGTTCCTAACATTTTTCGGGCACGCGTATACACCCGCAGCGAACTTGTGAAAAGTTTTTTTAGGTGGTCGCTCTGTTTGATGATTCTGAAGTGTTTTTAGGACATTGTTGTTAACATTGTGGGCGTTAGTAGTGAATGTGAAAATTAGGTAGCTCTGTTCGTTACTTTCTTTGCCCTGATTGTGCACGATATGGTGGCGGTTCAGATTTACTGCTTTTTGATCGCGTTGTCAACGATGGGAGGTGGATAGTGCTGCTTTATAAGAATTTTGCGTAGGCGATCCGTGTTTTCTTTCAAGTTGTTCGTTTCAGAGCAGATCCTTCTAAATTGGTCTGCCTGACAGTATGGGATGCTGGTTTCACAATGCCTCCGGATGACAGCTTCTAAAGTGGAGGAATTGTGGCGCGTCTGCGGGCTTATTGTAAAGATTATTAGTTTACCCCCTTCCAACTTTATGTTAACATCAAGAAAGTTAACTTCAGTTCTAGAATACGTGTGCGGGAAAGAAATGTTTCTATGGACATTGTTAAATGCCTCGATAAATTTACTTAGCAGTTCTTCGGTGTCCGTCAAAATGAGAAAGATGTCATACAAGTACCGCTTATAAAAGGCGGGGTGCGTGTATATGTTGAAACAAAACTCTGTTCACAACTGTGAACAAGTATATGGGCATAGTTCGGCACCATCCTCGTTCCCATCCTTGTTTCATTTGTTTGAAAAAAAAATATTGACTGTTAATCAAAGGTGTTCAATTCGAGGGCAATCCTAGCTAGAGTCCGAAGGGCAATTAGTTGCGGAGAAGAAGCTGGTGCATTTTCCCTGTAGGACTTTACAAGAGCCTGAATTCCATCATCATGAGCAATGTTTGTGTATAGCGACGTGATGTCTAATGTGACGAGAAAAGACCCTTCTAATATGTAAACTTTTTCAATTTCTCTCAAGAAGTGGTTTGTGTTAAGCCGGTGCGATGGATGGCGAAGCGAAAAGCCCTTATCAAGAACGTCATGTAGCTAGATAATGGTTCTATAATTGTTCCCGTTCAGAATGCTATAGGTCTCCCAGGGTTGATTTTTTGTGTACTTTCGGTAGCATGTAGAAACGTGCAGGTATGGCACAAGCAGGAAAGAGTGATTTGCAGAGCTTTATGTGTATAGCTCCCGGTTTTGCGAGGTTGTGGCGGGTCGCATTAATCAATTCTTGGTGCTGTTTGGTTGGTTCAGAATAAAGTAGTTTGTAAAATTTACTGTCCTACAGTCGTCGTACACCTTTGATGTATTCGCCCCTGTTGAGAATGACATGTCCACTTCCTTTAGGTGATTCATGTTTTTTTAATTAAGTTAGAGGCGTCGGCTTTATTAGCAGTCGCACTAACTAAGAAAGGGCTTTCACACAGTCTCTTCCTGTCGAGAATGAAGAACGTCAAAGGTATTCGAGCCATCTGGTGATGTCTGTTCATATAGCATTCGTAACCACGTCCTTAGAGTCAATGTTCACAGTCGCTGCTCGAACGCCCCTTCCCCCTACCCCACCTTCGTTTTCGTATTTTTTCATGCTCCTTCATTGTGAGCAGGGCATTCCAGTTCTGCTTCAGCATCATTTCATGGCGTGTTTAACCCGGGTAATCTTATCACATTGGCATTCTTGCCGACGGAGATTACCTGACATCTTTTGACCACCCGTGTTCGTCACCTCCGTTCACGCGCTTTTACCCGCGAGTAGGTAATACGATATACGTAATACGATATACGAAATGATGCCGATGCGGACTTTATGAGTTTATACGGAGCATGACGGGGACGGCGAAAACGACGACGAGAGCCTATCGAAAGTGTCAGTATGATTTATACCGCAATGATACATGGTTGAAATAAAATAATAAATGTTAGGTTTAATAGAAAGGGAATTTTTCGGCCTCTCTGAAGAAACCCTAGAGATTAACAAACGCTCTTGATTCTCTAGACAGGAAGGATTTTTCATCATCTTAATTAAGTTATAGTTAGGCGGCAATCATTGCATTATATTGAAAACAAAAAAACAAATATTGCTTCCTATTGCCTGCTTGACCTAATTGTTCGTTGGTTTCATTAGTTTTTTCTAAAAAAGAATTGAACGCCTCGAAAGATTTTCTTTTTTTTATTCAAGGTCACAAAGTGCACTTGCCTTAGCGCTAAAGCGAAAATCTGGGAAATCCCGCGTACCATGGGAATCAATGTAATGTGGAGCATTCGCAAGGATTGTAACAACGGTGTTGTTTATTTAGGCCAAACATTACAAACTAATGCTCAATATATGTGCAAATGTCGTCGCTCAAATATTGTCGAACAGTCGCGTATCCTTTATATAACCAGATATTTACAGTTGCGTAGCGATGGCAACGGCAACATGGTTATTACCAACAGCAGAATCTCTGATCCTCTCATGTTCTACAATAGCTGATAAAAGTGTCATATTTATGCTTTACTTAATTATAAATGTAACTACACCGCCTTGAGCTTGTCACATGCAAGTATTTTATACTTTGGGGTGACCTATTCGTTATCAGTCACTGCAGTGTACAACCAGGTCTCTGTCAGCAGACTAACGTGTGGGTAACGGTCCTAAAGGAGCATTTCAAGTTCACATGTTTCATTCATGACACTTTGTGCATTTAAACATAGTAGCCTTAAATGACACGTGTCATTTCGTCTTCATTTAGATGCCCCATTTGCAGTGTTTTCTTGTACAGTTTGCAGCCTCGTTTGCCCCGCGCACAGTTTCTTTGCCGCTGCACGGGAGGTCATTAAAACATTGCAATGTGCGTCGTGCTTTTCATTACCTTGTGTAGTGTCACCGTCTGAATCCGTACTGGGCTCGGCAAGCTTGCGTCTTCGGTTCAGTTCCTCATCCCACACGTACATCCCCTGATTTAAAAGCAGCTTATCATTCTTGAAATACACTTAGTCATCAGGTGTGTGGCTATCTTTAACGGTCGACCACAGCTTCTTTCTTATTTTCTGAATTCGGAGTGAATAGTATTCCGACAATGAGTACCAAGCGTTCTTAACCTTTCTAGCAATTTTAGCAGTTCTATTTTTTTTCATTGAGATTAAAAAATGCACAATAACTGGACGCGATTTGTTAGCTTTCTTTCTGACGAGGTGGTAAATGTGTTCAAGGCTGCTTATCTGAATTCCTACTCTGTTTTCAAAAATATCTCTCAAAACAGCTTCTTTCAGAACACCCACAGCCTCAGTTTCACATTGATTCATCCCATGAAGAATCAAAATGTTTCGTCGATTTATATTCTCAAGAATATCTATGTTTTCCCAGTAGAAATTCAGTCTTTTCATGCAACCTTGAGACAACACGCTCACACTCTTCGACCCCTGGTACAGTCTCTGAGCATGACCGAACTTTCTGTTTTATTGAGGCTAACCTTTTGTCAATTTCAGTAGCGTGACATTCTAAGCTTTCCCGCATAAAGTCAAGCTCGCTTTTGGTCTCGCTTTGATTATCTAAAATTGCTCACACTTGCTCAGAAAACGTAGGGTCAGGGTTCATTTCAATGTCCCCGCTTAACGAAAGAACTACAAAGCACAATGCATCAAAAAATTCGTGACACAATTCCACAACACCCTCGGTCATGGGACCACAACTAGGCACAAGAAATCTCTCTTAAGGCCTTGACTAGTAGCTTTTCGACGAACCTGCTCAAAAAAGTCCAGCCAGGTTAGCCGCGTCTTCATCTTTAGGTTGGTACCCTTCCCACTGAAAAACAAACGCTTGGGGGGTGGTGCCCGTGGTGCTGGGTGGTTCGAATGATGACAATGTTACTGCAGTTTTCCCTTGTACACAAGATCCGAAATATATGGCCTCACTTAAAGTTCACAGGACATCAATGGCATCAAGTCCGGCAACATTCACCGCTAAGGGAAGTCCGATGATGGACGTTGTCATACCGACGTTGAGTTCTTGATAGCGCACTGGTGAATTGCATGCAGCGAAAACCTGCGCAAAAAAGACGAGGCAGTTTAGTCGCGTCTGCATCCTAAGGTTGGTCTCCTTCCAACCCAAGGATAAATGGTAGCTAAAAAATGCTATTGTTTGAGGCATATTCTAGGAATATCATTTGTTTGATCATCCAGATTCCCGACTAGCGCCTAGCAGTACCAATTTTCCAGAATTTCAGTATAGTTGCTATCATCATCTCTTCGATGGATAACCATGAAGAAGCGGATATGAAAGCCCAAAGGGTCATTCTGGTGACTCTCTGGCTTTCGTCACTCACGAAACAGAGCCTCCAGGCGTGCCGGGAAGCATACAAGAAGCCGGGGCCCACGCACACCGCCTGCTTACCGCCGAACCCGGACTGCACCATCGAGTCGAGACGGGTGAGCATGGCTGAACAGAGAGTCATCCTCGTAACGCACAACGCCTACAGAAGCATGGTGGCCATGGGAAAACTAAGGTACTTTCCTGAAGCCACGAATATGCAGCAGCTGTTCTGGGATGAAGAGCTGGCTTCTGTGGCACAGGCGCTGGCCGACCAGTGTACACCCGACAGCGGAAAGCTTATTCACGATGAACCCGGTGCCCGTTTCACCACCAAGTTTAACTTCACGGGACAAAACTTAGCTTTCCGCGCAAGCAGTGCCCCCTTCAAGGGCCCCGACTGGCTTGGTCCTATCAAGGCGTGGTTCAACGAATACCCGCACTACCCGCCGAGTAGATTGGGCAACTTCTCGTCTCGCTCCGGGGATCCTACCGGACACTTCACGCAGCTTGTGTGGGCGACGACGCGCTACTTGGGCTGCGGCTACGTCAGTTACACCGTCGTCGGTTACTCGCGGTTGCCGTACATGCAGCTGTACGTGTGCAACTACGCTGACGCTGGCAACGTCTACACGTTTCCCGTGTACGATGCTGGTGATATGTGCTCAGCTTGCCCCGAAGGCACCACTTGTGTCAAGGAGACCGGACTCTGCTCGTCTCTTCAAGACGGTCGCCAGTCTGGAACAAAGGCGGAGCTCCCAGAAGCGCGTCGCGATGAACGCAACAATCACTATGCGTCAACTCAAAAAAGCACAGCACCTGGAAATGACCAGCCGTTCTGGTCTGCTGCTACGGTGTGTTTGACTTCTTCTGTCTCCGATATAATATTGAACTGCTGGGAGTCGCTAATCTGCCAAGGACGCCAAGCAGAACATAATCTATCATGTATTTTCACAATTTTCTTCTTGACATTGGCATTTTCATTCTAAAGACAAGAACAAATAATTTTGTACGAGTTGGCGTGAAGTCACCAATTATGCGTGGAAATGACAGTTGTATTGACAGATAAACCTTATTATCATGATTCCCTGTGGTTGATCGTTCATGTCGAGTTACTTGAGTGCACTTCAGGTTCACTTGTTGGTTACAGGTGGGGTGGTTTCTGTTTTTCCTGTAAATAAGTGTGTGCTTTACGTTCGACCCTCATTCAGCGCCTTCATTTGAGAGAACGCGCAATCCTTCCAAGAGGGGTCGGAAAGCCGCGTTGTGCAGCTTGCTGGTGTACCTGATGAGGACGGAAGCAGAAAACTCTACCGAGTCAGATATCCAGATGCACCGAAGAGATATACTTCTATTTGTTCGTGTAAATACCCGTAACTACTTTTTTGCAATCGTTTTTTCTAGCACTAATAACGGGAAAAACATTATTAAACTGCACGCGCTTGCTTAACTAGATATTAGAAACATTCTAATCTTTTCGCGGCACTGTTCTGACTACTTGTAGTAATGATTCATTAAAGGTCAGTTTTATTGCAAGACGCCACTGTGACCTTTAGATGCCATGACAACTCACACAATTTTACGCGAAGTAAAGCTATCAGCTAATTTCAGTAGGGTTTTTTGTGCTGAAACTCGACCAGAAGACACGGCTTTTTCAGCTAGCGAAGAGGTTGTCGTGCTGTCCATCACTTTAAGGCGAAGCGCTGAGGGCCTAAAAACGTAAAAATGCATGAGCCGTGTACTGATATGAACAGAAATACCACACCCGACAATGCACTTTTGGTCAAAGTTTGCAGTTTCTCACCAAGGAAGCTTTGAAGCCACCTTGTTGCAGCCTGGCACATGTGATCCTTCCCTCAACGGAACCAGCCGACGCATTTCATGTGTGCTTGAGCCACTCCCTCCTGCAGTCACCTCAAGCTATCGTTTGAGGTTGCTCGCATACGCGGCATTCTCAAACATAATGCGCAAAGCGGTGATCTTAGTGTCTTATAACCCTTAATAGGCCATTGTGCAAGCTGATAAAGCCTAAGATGGCAACGCATCCTCTACACATGATATTACGAGGAAACTTGAAAGCACAATTTACCCTTCCTTTTCTTGTAGGATTCTTCTGGGAGGTTGCTTTTGTGGGATACGAAAGATTTTGGCGATGGAAATACACAAAACCCATGACGACATGAGCCATAATTGATTGATTGATGCCATAATGCATCGAATCTCTTGGTAACTACTTCCTATCCTTTCTTTTTGGCAATCTATTGATTCCGTTTTGCACGACCACACCTTGTGAACTTGCTTGAACAATACGGCAATAGACTGTTTATTGTGGAGTTGCCGATGGATCATCGTGGCGCCAGGGCTGTTTGATGTCGTCTGTCTATAGTTAGCCTAACAAATGCTGTCAGTGGACGCAGGCTTCAATATGCATGCAAAGGACGGTATAGGTCGGCATATTCACTCAGGAGCCAACTCACTAAGACTTGAATTGAGTCGTGAGCCTGTGTCTCAATGTGTGTGGGTGAGCAATATTTTATTGAGTCTGAGTCCGAGTGAGTCCAGTTGAGTTAACAATTGGTGAGTCTGAGTCTGAGTGAGCCCTAAGTGCAGCATATGTTTTTTGAAAGAGTATGAGTGAGGTTCACCTTTTATGGACGATGAATGGTTCTATTTATTCACCAATCAGCATTACTATCCCCCTTTATCAGCTTAAGGTTGTACTGTAGCCTGATCACACATATCTAGAACGCACTACTATTCTTGTGTCACCTCAATGTTTATTGATGACAGGCGTGAGCTAGAGGTGAAGCAGAGGGCAAATACTTTCTCCCACAACTCTTTCACGAGACGTTCTTATAGAAATATCTCGTATGTAACGCATATTTTATTAGAAACTCCTGACTGAATCGCAACCGCGGATACCTCGTATTTCAAACTACAAGTTCAAAACGTGCACCGTATAGCACCCAATATGCGGGATATTGGAATGAAAGGGCGTTTACACTTTGATCAGCAAAGCTAATTCTACGCCAGTGAACTCATGCTCACCAAATGCAGGCAGTCAAACCCTTGACGAAGTATGTGGAAATGTTTTTCCTAAACCAACTTTTTTCTTCCCTCTTTTGTCATGTTCTGGTCATACATGCTCCGGTAATAATACACCTCCCCTCCTTTAGTAGACATACTCACCCAAGTGAAGTATTCAGTGTGGGTCGGCATGAGTTCGGCTGAGCAATATGTTGGCGAGTTTGAGTTCGAGTGGATTGAAAAAAATGTTTTACGAACCTGAGTCCGTGTGAGTACAGTTGAAGAACATTTCACTGACTCTGAGTCTGAGTGAGTTCTCAGAGCAAAATGGATTACTTGAGTGTGTCTGAGGGAGTTGTCGACTCATGAGTGAGAGTACCGTCGAGTTGGTGCCTCGGTCACCCCAAAGAACAGGCACCTGAAGACGCCTTGGATACTTGTCAGTGCTAGAGCGTTCAGATGTAGCTTTACAGGTCAAATTGTAATAGAGAACTGTAAAAAAAAATGTTTCCGTATGTGCATGTAATCTGCAACTGTCGTCGAAAGACGATTGTCTTGCGTGGTGAGAGAGTGAACAATTAATTTGATGTTCTGCGCAAGAAAATCGGTGAATGGTATTTTGGAGTCCCTGCGTTCGAGTGCCTCGAGCGTGCAGCGGAGGCGAACCAGCGAATTAATTCACGTCACACGTGAGACATGAGCGCCACCTGGTAGTATTCTTACAAAACGAAGCGCGTGGCTTTGAGACGGGTGTGCGCACCTGTCTCAGAGGTAATAAGGTGAGGAACGTAAGGCGACGGGTAGGTGCACCACCATCGCGTCTTAGCAAAGCGTTGGAGAGATTCACCTTTTCATGCAAGCGTGGCATGGTCTGCGCAGCGTGATAAGTGCTACGGTCCTTAAAATTACTTTTGTATGCACTTTCTAGGAAAAGATGCACATGCAGAATATATACGTGTTGTTATCGTGCTCCAGACTTGTGCAAATTGCTTGTGAATTGACAATTGGAAAAGTATGAACGCTAAAATTTGAGCAACATTGGTGGGCGCTGCGGATGGTGTCGGCCGTTTCAAGTACACGGTGCCGTTAAGAGTTGACAAACAGACAAATGTACAGACAGACAGACAGATAGACAGACGGACAGACAGACAGACAGACAGACAGACAGACAGACAGACAGACGGACGGACGGACGGACGGACAGACAGACAGACAGACAGACAGACAGACAGACAGACAGACAGACAGACAGACAGACAGACAGACAGACAGACCAAAATGTTGGCGTTGAAGGTCCCCAAGAAAGAATATCGTCTTTGAAGTCACAGCATATCCACGGAGTGAATGATGATGAGTGGGGCGAACCGTCCATCCGTACGTCCGTGTTTCCGTCAGCCCATCTCCGTCCGTCGTGCCTCACTCCATCTATGTGTGCATCCATCCATTCCTTTGTTCGTGCATTTGTCTGTCCGTCCACCCGTTAATCCATGTTTCTCTCTGTCCATCCAGGCGTCCTTCCGTCTGTTCGTCTCTTCGTCCGTGCGTCCGTCTGTCTGTCTGTCTATCCGTCCGTCCGTTCATGTAGCGAACACTCTAAGTACTGCCACGTATCTTTTCATAATATATTTATTAGACACAAGTACCGCCATCCAGCGGACGTTCTCATGATTAAACAAAAGGTGGCTGCCACGACGACGACACAGACATTCGACCCACGACGTAAGAAGCTTCGCCCTAAAAGAACTCTTAATCTGCACGCGTGTGTGTGTGTAATATGCAAGTGCCATTTGATTCATTAATAGGCTTCTTTACGACTGAATAAATGTATGCCTGAATGAATGATTCAAATACAGGATTTGATGGTTCGCGTTGATTGATAGAAAATTTCTACGTGTACTTCCCCTTCAGTTTCAAGAAAAATACAAATAACAAGACGTAAGTTAGTCGTTTGATGGCATAAAGCATCCTAATTATTCGAGGCAGGTAGGAAATCACTATGCCATTATTCATGATTTCGTGAAAAGCAGGGTACTTACTATGCGTCTCTAAGACATGGGCACTTTATTAACTTGATATCGCTGAAGATCTCATCTCGCCGAACATCTGGCGTCACCATCGAAGTCGGTGCAGTCGTCGTTGGTTGTGAGCGAAAAATCATCAACTTTTGCGTGACCGAAAGATCGAGGAAGATACTGGAAAGTAAATTCTCAAAAACTCCGCGTGCTAGTGAGGATTGAACCCGGCTCGTTAACGTGGCAAGCGGGTGTTCTACCACACAGCCACGTATTTTTGTGGTATGGAGCCAGACTGTGCAATTTTAACCATAAAGCTCCTTCGATTTCCGAGTGTTTTCAGATATATATCATAAACGCTCAATTTTCTTATGGTGTTCAGTGTACTAGCTATCTTGACAGGGCTCTAAATCTTTGTGGGCGTGATGTATTGATTTCTGGGGGCTTCAATTGCGAGAACACTGGATATTGTACACTCGCGAGAGCTCTAACCAGCCCTACAATCGATCTAAAATTCTATAGCAGGAGTCTTTCTGTATATTCGTGGCCGATCATTGCTAGTTTCACCAATGGCGACCATCTTCCGGTAATTTATAATATTGCCCGTCTGGTGAAATTAGGTGCTCAGAAAATTATTACCTTTAAAAACTACACCGAGTTCAAGAATTGCTGGGTGTCAACAGTTTTTTTATTATCCAATGCGTCTGATGAAGAAAAATTAAAGAAAATTTGTCGTATTTCAGGAACTTCTAGAAATGGCTCGGAATTTATTCTTCAAATACAAGAAAAATTATTTGTTCAACCTTTGGTGGAAGTTGGATTCTTCACGAGAAAATAGAAGAAAGGAAGGAGACCGGAAAAGCTTACTTCGTAAACAGTGTATGAAAAATCGGAGTGACTATAACTTACACCAAACCACAATCAAACACATAGTAACTAAAGCAAAAGATGAGTACGACGATAGTTATAGTGGGAAAACAAAACGACAACACAGAGACAAGAAGGATACGAAGACACGAGCGCTAACTTCCAACTGAGTTTATTGTGCAGAGCGCGAAAATATATAGAGGAGACAGTAACCATGTGGCAAAAACCATATGGTACAAAGAGCAGAACATGAGTAAGAGAAAAAGAATAACAAAAACACTCGCGAGAGCTCGCGCGAACAAGAAACTCGGTTGGAAATTAGCGCTCGTGTCTTCGTGTCCTTCTTGTCTCTGTGTCATCGTTTTGTTCTCGCGCTATAACTATCGTCAAGCCATACCAACTAGCCCAAGCTGCCACACTTCTATGAGTATGACATTGAGAACTACAGCTTTCTATCGAAAGCCGAAAATAAAAGCGCGCCTTTCAAATTTCTTCATAATAAAAAAATCCTTCATAGTCCAAACATAGATTGTTCAGTGTTAAAGGACGAAGAAATCAAACAAGTGCTAAACTATATAGCTAGTGGCCTAAAAAAGAGATACTCATTTCCCCTATCACCTTACAATAAATTTAAAACACAAACACGAAGTCCTGATTTCAGTGAGATATCAATGGTTAATCTGGCCACGGCTATATGCAAGGACTTCGAAATCCATCACCACCTAATGACAAAATATCCACAAAAAATATTCAAAATGCTTTTCAATGAGGCTCCTGGTATTTTAATAACTACAGGGAACCCTTCTATAAAGTGCTCGTGAATTTCTCCTAGTTGGAAAACTGCCAAAAATACTTCCAGTTCCAAGACACAACTGCGCAGAATACAGCCTAAACAATATCAGACCCAGTGCGCTACCTTCTAATCTGGTTAAAATAATAAAAAGAATGCTTTATGCTCGTCTCGTTTACTTAGTAGAAGGCTAAAAAATTGTGGACCCATTCTAAAGTAGTTTTAAACCAGTATGCTCCATTTAGCCTGCTCGTGTGGACTTGGAGGGTCCTATACACTAGCGCACAATCGCAGGAAATAGCAGCCCTGGTAACATTGGATAGCTCAAAAGCCTACGATAGCGTAGAACATATAATACTATTGAATGAAGTATATCACGACATCCCTAATTATATGGTTAGCTGGTTTAGTGAGTTTTTATATGGAAGGTTATTTTAGTTCTCACTAAAAGGTCATTTCTCAAATTTACATTCACAGTCACGAGGAATGTCTGAGGAAGCAGTTAGCTCAGCTCTTCTTTTTATGATATTACTAGCCATAATTCTCAGTCATGATGGATTACACACTTATGTATATGCAGACAACATCGCCTTTTTCGCCTCAGATACTGATAGACATTCTCTGTACTCTCGCTTAATTCTTATATGTGCACCATTGAAAATTGTTTAAAGACCTTACGTTTATGTAATAATGTTAAAAAGTGCAATTATAGTTTTTATTTCGAACAACCATGCTACTATCAGACTGACTTGTAGCCTGCAGAATATACCACAAGTGGATTATGCCAAATATCTGGGAATAATTTATGATAAAAGCCTCCTGTGGCAAACGCACATTGAACACATTGCCAAGAAAGAAGTACGGGCGCTAGGAGTCCTACGAAGGCTATGCAACAGTACATCGGAGATGTGAGGAGACACACTGAGTTTGATACACAAAATATACGTACGCCCCGCTTCAGAATTTGACTGCTCTATGTTCGGGCGCACCAGCTTATAAATTGCGTCCTCTGGCACATCTTGAAAGAGAGGCCCTTACTTTGCGCCTTGGATTAACAAAATGCGTCGCCAATAATGTTGTGTCCTTAAAAAAAAGTTTGCCCTCTATTTTGTGCAGATTCAGGATACTAACGGTACAAATATTTCTGAAGTTTTTTGAGTATCCTATAAACGAAAATATTATTTTTAGCGCCAGCCAGTTTTTTTCCTCTCTTATAAGCCTCGGTTCCGGACTCCACAGGTGGTATAGGTACAATCACTCGTTGGTCCATAAAATGTTAAACAGTGCAAGATACCTCCCATAAAGTATTCAAGACAGAGTCTAGAAAATATTTTTCATGATATATATCGGACTAATGCAAAAACTTTGTCTTCACTGTTAATAAGTGACCTTCTGCAATGACATTTAAAGGAGATAGATAAATATAATAAGTATCATAGCTACAGATGCCTCACAATGTGAAAATAAATCTGGGATTGGCATTTTTTGAGACCTTCAACTGGTCCTTCTCATTAAGACTTCCCGATTTCTTGTCAGTATTCTTGGCAGAATTTCATTTCTGGCGCAGAATATGGCACTGAAAAATCTCAGCCCATGATCCTCACTTGTGGTCATGGTTACAGATTTGTTATATTTGTGTTCAGCGCTCACTTCTAATAGCATTTTGTATTATTAACACGTGTTTCATTTTCTTGTCTCGACTTATACAGCTTTCATCAGATTGATCTGGGTTCCGGGACACAAAGGAATAAAAATGAATGAAGTGGCGGAAACTCTGGCGAAAGCCACTCTCAGTCGACAAATACTTTCAATTATCCCCACAGAAGCACTCATAAAGTTACATATTTCGAAAGCGTGCCATAATCTAAGACTCTGGTAAAAGAATACTCACTCAGCTAAACGAATATTGACACCTCTTGTTTCTTTGGCGCAGAAGGTTCTAGTCAATACTCAAAGAAGTCATTTTTACTAAGTTACGCGGTAGAGTTCCTAAACTAATATTACTTACATAGAGCTGGTCTGGCTCTATGACCTCTTTGCGCATTGTGTAACAAGGCTGAAACAATCGAGCATTATTTTTTGTCTGCAGTTCCTTCAAGTCACTTAGAAAACATGTTCTTAAACTGGCTTTTAATTGAATAGGATCGAAATTTATTATTTTTTATTCTCTTTTTGGAAGCCTCCTTATTAGCTACTCGTCACCGGAATATGTGTTCTGCTGTAGAAATATTTTTTAATCAAATAAAGGCGATTTTGATCGCAAATCTGTCAAACAGTAAAATTTATCCCTCTTCTAAACAAAATATGTATAGTTTATTTGATATACAAATAGTATGTTATCCCCTTCTATATCATTACACGTTTCTTGGCCCATCCTCCACAGAGGGTGTGAGTCATACATTTAGGCCATAATCATCATCGGTTAGAAGAAGCAACGGCGACGCTATGAGAACACGGATGATCGTATTCACGACTTTCTGGTTATCGTCGATGGTCGCAAGCAGTGTCGAGAAATGCCTAGAGGAGTACAAGAAGCAGAGGCCCACACACACCGCCTGCTTGCCGCCCAACAAGGAGTGCACCATTAAGGCCAGCCGCGTAAGCAAAGCTGACATCAAACTCATCCTCAAAACGCACAACCACTATAGAGGCATGGTTGCTATGGGCAAACTCAAAAAGTTCCCGGCGGCCACCAACATGCGGCAGCTCCTGTGGGATGAAGAGCTCGCTTCTGTGGCGCAGGCCAAGGCGGACCAGTGCACGAACGCCGATGGAGAACTGCATCACGATAAGGCCGCAGACCGGTTCACGACCAAGTTCAAGTCCGTAGGGCAAAACTTGGCCTTCCAGAGAAGCAGTGCTTCTTTCGGGGGAACTGACTGGCCCGGTCAGATCAAGGCTTGGTTTGACGAGTACGACCACTACCCGCCGGCCAGCGTGAATAGCTTTGCACCTCCTTCCGGTGAGTCGACGGGGCACTTTACGCAAATTGTGTGGGCCCTGACAGGCTACGTTGGCTGCGGCTACACCGACTACACCGTCACCGGCGCCAAGGAGATGCCGTACATGCAACTCTACGTCTGTAACTACGGCACAGCAGGCAACGTGCTGACGCGTCCTATTTACCTGACTGGGGCAGTCTGCACCGCATGCCCCAAAGGCACCACATGTGTCAAGAAAACCGGATTGTGTTCCCCTCCTGAAGGAACTGCAGCCCTCGACGAACGGGACACTGGGAGCGAGAACCGTGAAAAAAGCACCGTTAAACCTTCCCCTCCGTATCGAAAGAATGGTGCCGGCATAACCTTTAGGCCAAATCGGCACGCAATCTTCGGCATATTTGCTGTGACCTATTTAACCCTCTTTACCTAGTTTCCGTCCCTCAACTGAACGCAATGCTCCGATCCAGTACTGACGATTGCAACGTTTTCTTACGGCCCCACAGTAGTGCGTTTATAGAACTGCTTCTAATACCGAAAAAAGTACCAGTAAAATAGGGTTTCATTTTATGATACAATTCTTTAGAATAATGCTTGTCATTGTGGCCTTATTAATAACAATAAAGTGCATGTTTGCGTGTACACGTTGGTTTCTAGCAATAAGATATCATGATATGTTCTGTATAATGCATTTTTACGGCGGTGTGAGCATGAGCCGGTTTATGCGACACTGTGAAATAGCGCTAATATTTAAGGCCCACACTGAGAACACCAGCTTTTTTTTTTTGCATTCTGGCCAGTGCTTTCTAACATTATGATCTCTATAAGTGCGTGAAATTTACATTACCAGATGTGAGCAGTCTGGGGCCTCAATTAAAAAAAAAAGCGGAAATGTCAAGAGAATTAATGGTGTACTTTATGACTGTCGTCATCAAATGTATACAGCGAAATTGGTTATCTAGTTATGTACGCTAGGTTGTGCCGTAGTACTTCATACAACTATTTGGAGAATCCAATAAAACTACACGCAACAGTTGGCGGTTGGCTTTCCCAGAAGGCAAACATATGACGAAATTTGTGGCCGGAACGCGCTGCATCCAACGTCGGTAAACGTAGTAGTGTCATTACCAAAGCCGTCGTGAGGAGCACACTATATCACTCAAAAGCAAAATGAAAAATTGGACAGGTTTCACAGACCATGGTAATTGACGTCATGCGAAGCATGCTGCGGGACGCTGATCGTGTGGAATTTTTTAATTGAGGAAGACTTTACAAAATAAAGCTAGAGGTATGTACGCATGCTAAACGCAGAGAAATATGTTAAACATCCACATATTTGCCAACGTGGCCTTTTGGGGTCGTCAGTTATTTGCTTCGAAAGGTGGCATAGTGTTGACACACACGAACTAGAAATAGATGACGAAACGAGTGCTACTGTCAACTGATTGTTGAAATCAGTTTAATTAGTTGAAAGTAGCGCTTGTTCAGTCATCTTTTTCTTGCCCGTGCGTGTTGGCGCTATGCCACTTTTCGCAGCCTCGTATGTTTTAAATGGCCAGTTGTTTATAGTTCCGTAATGATGCCAACAGCAACACGGCTGTTACCAACGCCAGAAGAGGTAAACTGGTAAGCGCACTGTGCTTGCCGTAATGAAAGCCATAGTGCTATGTAGACCAACTTCAATGCATGGCGCTGAAGTATACAATTACCGTTGATTTGACGTGACGCCTGAATTGTAGGAGTGCATATGTAACGTTTATAAAGCAAGGCGTACCACCACTGCAACCACAATTAACGTTTCACAATCTTGCAATGGATCTTTTGCCAATGCAGGTCTGAGAGCTCACTTGGCTCTGCCAGATAACACTTGACTGCCACGCAGAATGCTTGGGTTCGATTCCTGCTGAGGCCCTGATAGTTATTCGCTACCGATAACTAGTTTTTGTTAATGCTCTCGCATATAAATTACCGACGCCTGTTCTCGTCGTTCCACAATAGGTATATACTATTAGAGAGGTTTATAATAGCGCACCGCAATTCCTTGCGGTGTGGTCGCTGCTGCTACGCATGCGTCTAAACGCGAGCCGCCATTCGCGCTTGCAGCGAGCTCGCAGAAATTCCGAAATAGCGTGCTGCTCGTGCGGCCAGTGAGGCCCCCAAAGTACAGGTGTTCAGGCTATAAGTACCTTTCATGCATTTGATTTTTAGGGAGGGGCGAAGTCACTAGAATTTTTCCTAGGAGGGCAAACACTATTCTAAAGCTCATATGGCACCCGCTACGCTCGCAACGCTTGCAACGCCCGCGACGTCTGCAAGCGTTAATCTTAACCTTTTTATTATCACCTGGGGTGCAAAAGTGCATACAGGCCAGTAGACCGAATTTTTCTGCGTTGGGGGCCGAGGGGAGGGCACCTGTTGAAGACCGTGAAAAATCCGTACGTTTATAATTTATTTTTGGTAAAACATACCCTTCCTTCTGAGCGTTGTGTGAGGAACGGGGGCCCTTAGCTAACCCCTGTCTCTCCTGGCTACGAGCTTTCCCGTTTACCGGGGTCCAATGTATGCAGGTGTTTGAAGTAATGTGTTTGACGAAGCACGCGACGGTGTTCTCACGATATTCCCGTCATGACGAGACTGTCGTATTCGTCAAACACTTTTACCCTCACATAATGATTTTCGTCTACCCACATGTTAGAGTGGGGATCACGAAAGCACCCAGACGTAAGCGGACTGATAGATAGATAGATAGATAGATAGATAGATAGATAGATAGATAGATAGATAGATAGATAGATAGATAGATAGATAGATAGATAGATAGATAGATAGAGAGATAGATAGATAGATAGATAGATAGAAACGCCCCAACAGCCTGCAGTTAGCCATGAAATGCTTCCCATTTAATACTTTTTGTTGATTTAAGTGTTAAATTTATCATTAGGCACAGCAGTGACACAGCAACGACGCAAGAAATTCCCACGCTCGAACGCAGACGCGTTCTCTGATAGCGTAGCCGGGTGGTCTTCTTTCGTGGAGAAAAGAGAAAGCCGTTGTGAAAAGGTTGTTTCGAGTTGAATGCTCTGACTCCAAAAATGCTTAAGAAAGGGACGAATGGTCAAAGTCACATTGTCGCTTATGCATTTGCACAAGATGACTTAAAGAAAGACTAAAGAGCAAAACAATTTTTGTCGTATTGGTAAACAAATCTTTCACACTACAAAAAACACCCTGTTTTCGGCGAAAAAAGCTTAGTAAGTGAGAAAGCGCCTCCCCCCCCCCTCAAGAAAAAAAAACCGTTCCGACGTCACCTGGAAATTTCTGCACCATTCACCATGACTTCACATATTTTTTGACGGCGCCCACTAGAGCCTGTGCAGTTGCTCATGGGTAAAGGTGGAGTGCATTGTCCTCTGAGTGGGCCAAGGACTTACCATACTAAACTTCAGAAAAGTTTCTTGAGTGAATGGTGCCTGAATACGGTCACTACACAATGGAATTCATGTCGTCATGCAAGGTGATTATGGCACCAAATTTAACATTAAAACTCTCAAATTCATTTGTTCGCTTATTACAAAAGTATGATGATGAAATCAATTACGTTAGAGTTGTCGCAGAGAAATGTGTCAGTCCAAACCACTTCATTACTTATTTAAGTGTCCTTTAAAAGGATGCGGAAGGAGTGTTCCGTCCTATATTTTTTCGCAGTGTACTCTATTGACCCCCGTCTGCCACACGTGGAAGCTTTCTGAGTCCAACGTGGTTTTGCTGCTGCACAAGTATCGGCCCCACTTTGTCCGAGATGACGTCATGTAATGAAGTCATCACGGAGGTCAGGTTATGCAACATCATGATGACGGTAAAAGAATCGCATATTGACAATTCGCCGTATCCTTCTAATTGGCACCGATGGCCACTGCACGCTTCGAATGAGGCCTCTAAGACTGCCGCCTTAAAAGTGCTCATGAAGCGACAGAGCTCATCAGACTGTCTGGGCCTTTCGGCCATTCCTTTTAGGGGCGAAGCTCCTTTGATCGCGGTACCGTCTCCTGCATGTAGCCACCTCTCGTTTAGTTCTTGCAGTGTTCACTAGATGGCGGTACTTGTAACTGATGATGAAAAGATGCAAGATGTTATAAACTAGACGGCGGTACTTGTAGTTGATGATGAAAGATGCGAGATGTTATAAAATAGGAATGATGTCACGTATGGCACGTGTCATTGGTGGAAAGCAATCGTTCGATGTAGTGCGGCGACGTACGCTATGGGGGAGCATTGTAATAAAATCAAGTGGGCAAAATGTACGGAAGGTTCATGGTTTACCAGTTTTTCCTCCAGAGCTTCGCCCACTCATCATCATTCACTTCGTGGATATGGCGGCACTTTTTTTCTCTCTTCATTGCAGATAAGTTCGGTTTCTTGCAATATATATTCGGTGGCGTTTTTATTTTGATATGTAGGTTTCAGGACGTGAGTAAATGTTCAATATTTCTTTTTTTCATTTGAGGATGAATGTGCACCGCTGGTGAGTCACCCCAATCTCGACTGCCGAGTGACTGGCGCGGAAGATAGCAAACACCCACACAAGCCATAAAACTTTTGCCGACAAGCAACACACGTCCATGACGTGACTCCACACTGACATTCGATCGCGTAACATATGCCAATACGCACAGCATGTGGTAGAAGTCGTTCCGCCGCAACTTAACGTGACTCTCAACAATTTGTCATGGCATGGCGTGCCCCTCCGAAGTAGAAATTTGAAGCCACCTATCGACCCTCGACGGGGCCCGGTGACCTGCACTATACCGTGGGGCTCCACGTGAAAGGGCTTTCAGACACAGTAAACAAGCAGCTATTTCATCAATAAAATTTTTTCACTCTCTCTAGGTGCATAAGAATGACTATAGCATGCTTTTATAACACAACGAACAGAGGGACACGGTGTCTATCATCATCCTGTGAAAACTAGGGCCAAGCCGCAACACCCTTTATGACGCATTTACCGGTCTCATAGAGTACAGATTTCGCAGCAAATTTACTGTTACGCAGGAAGCCAGGAGAACTAGTGTTGGGCTGAATACTTGCACTGAGTGCGTGCAGTTAGCAGATGTAGTTTCCACGCAACGCCACTTACAAGTGTACCTATCACTTATGTCAAACGACGACGACAGCTAGCAACGCAGGCAGCCTTGTGCGCGTTTGTACCAGCTGCTTTGGAAGTGTCGAACACAAACGCGCGTACGCTGCAAGACTGCATTTATCGCCGCTAACGCTTGCAGTGTTCATGCGAGTGTCTCTTCCTGGCCTCCTTTCATGAACAAAGATGCGCTTGTCCTATTTTTGTTTTTGTTTTATATGGCGCCGTGTAATGTTCTTACGTATATTTGCACCATACACCTCTTCGCAAACTGTATGCTGGAGCTGGCGGTCCTC